CAGCCCCAGTGGCACAGGGTAAAAGCCCGAGTCATGCTACCCCTGTGCCTGCACTCCCTGCCTCGCTCACTGAAGTAGCTGGAGGCCAAGTCTTTGTTTGAAGAAGGTGATTTATTATGGCCCTTGGCAGCCCAGCGCTCTCTCAGAGCCCTCCTCACCCTGCCAGGGTCAGCTGGCACCGTGCCCAGAGAGCCTGGCTGATCCCTGGGGACAGCTCCACAYCCCAGGCCGTGCTCTGGCGGGATCAGGGCGCTGCTCTGCCTGCCACATCCTCGTGGAGCAATAGGGCAGAGGAGGAGTTTGCTCCCCACGTTSCCAGGATTGCGTGGCAGCGTTCCTCACTCGGATCTCCTGGAGCTTTGTGCCCCTGCCAGCCCCACGGGAGGTGACCCTGCCTCGCTGGTTGCTCCAAAGCCCTGCTCTGTCACTGACGTGGCTGGTGGAGGCTGCAGAGCTCACTGTGCTCCCTGCAAATGTGTGAAGGTGTCCTTGACTGCTTCAATCAGTTTKGGCATTGAATGGATTCCAGTGCCCTTCAACCCAGGGGAGAGCAAGGAGATGAAAAAATGAAAGAATCAGCTTCGTTTTTTGTAGTGGTTTGGCTTTTTGTGGGGTTTTTAAAATTTGGGGTTTTTTCAAATAAAAGCTTGAGATGTCCCTAAACAGTCTTTTAGGATGTGTGATAGTGTACTGCACTTAATTCTCGGGTTAATCTAGTAGCATGGACTTTTTGAAATGTGTAGCACCACCAGTGAAGCAACAACTGTTTTACCACACTCCATCTCTTTTAATTTCTAAACAAATTATGGTCATTCTTTCTAACAAGTCAGTGAAATGTATAGCTAAAACATGCCAGTTTTTGTGCCTGTTTTTACAGTTTCTCTTTTAATTTCTAAACAAATTATGGTCATTCTTTCTAACAAGTCAGTGAAATGTATAGCTAAAACATGCCGGTTTCTGTGCCTGTTTTTACAGTTTCTCTTTTAATTTCTAAACAAATTAGGCCATTCTTTCTAACAAGTGAGTGAAATGTATAGCTAAAACATGCCGGTTTCTGTGCCTGTTTTTACAGTTTCCCCTGGTGGAATTGATTTTTTTGGCTTACCAAAAATCCCAAGCACACTAGTCCCATCCTATACCACTCTCTTTCCTTTGGGGCTGCATTAGACCCATGTACTATCAAGGTGTTCCTCTCTTAGCAGACATGGCACCATCTCCCACGCCTGAGGAACAGAGAGCTCCATCTCCAGCAGCTGTGCCTGCTCTGAAATCTGAACTGGAGCCTGCACCCACAGAGGTGAGAGCAGATCAGAGTGACTGCCTGCCAGAAATGAGCTCTTGTTTCTCACAATGCCAACATGTCCYCCAGGTTTCAGCTGGAGGGAGGAGGAGGAAGCGGAAGCGTGTGCTGAAATCCAAGATGTTCATTGATGAAGAAGAAGGCTGCATGGGTAAGACTGTGCCCTACACTCACTGCAGCACACTTTATTGATCATTTGATCAGGCCAGCCTCTCCCAGGCTTAGAAAGAGGTTCACAAAATCATTTCATTATCCCCCTTGGAACTCCTCCTGGGCTGAGGTGACTGTCTCTCTGGTGAAGCCTGGGTAGGGAGTCACAGCTGTAGCTGAATCCTTACCCTTTTTTGATTATTCACAGATTTTCCTTCAGTTCTTTTCCCTTTCTTCCCGCCAGCATGAGCACCACCTTCATTTACTCTCCAAAGCTGCAGCCTTTTAAAGATGGTACAGAAAGAGGTTCAGGGTTTGGGATCATTCTGGCTGAGATAACTTTGTTGGTATTTTTTTCCTTTGGGACTAAATCCAGACCTGTGCAGCAGAACTTGATTATATGTTAAAGAAACTTTCAGTATCCAGGTGAACAAGGACTTAGTTGGGGCTGAAATACTTCAGAAGGTTTCTGTTTCTGATAAGGGTGGCTCTGCTTTCAGAAGGGAAGAGTCCCTGTGGAATCCATGAGAGCCAGAGGCTTTGGATTCCATCCTGAKGGGCTCTGCTTCCTCCTGTGACCTGGAGAAAGCTGTAACACCACTCATTTGTTTCCTCTGTGTGCTGCCATTGAAGCAGAGCTGCAAACATTAATATGTCAGTTTGGGGTTTGGTGTGGGTTTGGGTTTTGTGCAGAACTTACTGTCTGCTTATTGGCAAATTTCTCTCCTGCCTCTGTTTCCCAACCATTCCATGCACAGGCCTAATAATTCAAAGGCTAAACAACTTGCAAATCTCCAAAGTTAATGTAAATTTTAGTTATTCCTTGAAATACATGGAGTTTTTCTCCTCTCCCTGCTATCTTTTATTATTTTAAACCAAGGCTAGGTTTTAAGAGACATTAAATCCTAATATTAGACTGAGGCTATACTTTATATTTCTCCACAATTTTAAGTGATGRTTTTCACAATAGCTGCAATAGCAAGGAATTGGTGTCAAAAAGCAAAAGTAATTTAGGGATTAGCCCTGAGGGAAATTGAGCAATTAAAGTGTGTGTGGAGTTAAGCACAAGACAATTCCCATGCATCAAGAGGAGTCCATGGATTGAGTGCCTGCTCTTAGTCTCTGGTGAAGGGGAATTACTGAGTTYAGGCACTTCCTGAAGCTTGAAAGGACACAGGTGGGTTTGGAGATGGGGATATCAGCACGTGCATTGGAGGGAAATTGGTGTTACAGCATTTCAGAGCTCCCATGGTTTGAGCCGCTGTGATTTCAGGAGTCTGGCTGTGAGTGGAGCTTCAGTAGCTGTGTCTGCATACCCAGAGCTGCTGCAAATACAGATTTTTAAAGTTCAGCTGAGACTGCAGCCAAAKCAAGCTGATCTGAGATGTGTTATTGCAACTGGAGGGGGTTAACTGTGTGCTTTGGGACTCCCCAGCCATTCCTGACAGGGCTGACAACAAGATAAAGTCCTTAAGCTCACACAGTGGTCTGTGGAAGCTGCTCCTGAGAAGCCTCTGAAGGGAGATTGCTTGGTTTGCAGTCCCTGTTTGAGGTTCTATTATTGTTGCCCAGCAGGATTTCAGAGCATTCCTCTTCCCGGTCTCTGGTTACGTAGGAAACCTTATTTAATTTGATGCATTAATACAAGTGAAAGCCAGTTTCCCAGAAGAAGGGAAGTTAAGACATCTGTTTAAAAGAATACAGTTGCTAAAGAAAAATGGCTTACTAGAAGAATCSCAGAGCACTGCTGGGAAAGCTGATATAACAACATTTGCTGGGATGTGACGGTGGCTTTCATCAGCAGAGCTGACTCCAGTTTAATTTCCGTGAGTGTTGTTTTATATCCTGGGCTTGCCTTGGCYGGACACTGACAGCAGTGAGCTGGCAATGCCTTCAGGCAGAGTCCCTGATTGCACACACCACTTTGGGCTGGCTTTTTTAAAAGCATTTCTTTAGATTTGCCCTGTTTGGCCACCTTTTGTGGACAGAAGCTGCCCCGAAGGTTTTGTGCTCCTTGAGATGAGCAAAGTCTGCTTTGCTCTTCCTTGACTGCCCAGTGAGCTGGTGAGATACAGGGGCTGTATCCAGGGGTTGTCCTGCCTGGATTTCAGGACAGTCTGATTGCTCTGCCCTTGTGAAAATGGGATCGAGTCAGAATGATGGGGTTTGGCCATAAAGTGGATGTTCCATTGTCTAGAGCCAAACTGCTGATTGCAAACTCCTTCAGATTTATCACTTTCTGATGGCTGCTTCTCAGCCTCTGCCATGTGAATTAGAGCCTCAGGATCACTGAGGTTGGAAAAGCCCTCTGAGGTCATTGACTCCAACTGTTCCACCAGCACTGGCAAGGCCACCACTGTCCCATGTCCCCAAGTGCCACATCCACACGGCTTTTAAATCCCTCCAGAGACAGGGGCTCCTCCACTGCCCTGGGCAGCTGTGCCAGGGCTGGACAGCCCTTTGGGGGAAGGAATTTYCCCTGATATCCACCCTAAACTTCCCTTAGCACAGCTTGAGGCCACTGCCTACTGCTTAACCTTTTCTGTGTCTGACACATGCTCCTTGATCCCAAAACGTTCCTTTGCAGGAGTGTGGTGGGAAGGCTGCAGTGGGGAGGTCTTTGCTATAAAGATGTCTTAACCATCATCATCTCCTCCATTGTCTTCCCTCTCTTTCCACCAGTGACTGAGAAGGTTTACGAGAGCGAATCCTGCACGGACAGCGAGGATGAATTCCCCAAGCCCAAGGCACCAGCTCCACACAAACAGCCTGTGCTGCCCATGAAGAGGGAGCCAAAGGAAGAAAGGAAGAGCCTGAAGAAAGGGGCAGCTCCWGCCAGCAGAGCCAACAAACAGGTCTCCATCATGGGCTTTTTCCAGAAGAAATGAACTGGGTCTTTCTCCYGCTCCTTTTGGCAGCCTGGGAGTGTTGCTCCCTCTTTTTGTGTGGCTCTCTGCAAGCTGCTGCTGCTTGTGGAGGCCAACATGCAACACCCCCTTAGGCAAAGTGTCCTGCTTACTGTGTAAGGAAACCCTCTGGACTGCATTTTGTATCAGAGAAAAGCTTTTATTTGTTACTGCAATAGTTTCAGTCATCTTCACCAAGCGGTGTGGGACTGCCAGATAGAAGCAACATCTAGAGGAACTCTTGGAAGGCTTTTCACATGAAATTGTATTTTTTTAATCACCTCCTTGGTGCTAAGTTAGGAGTGGAGTTGTGGCATTTTCCTCCCTTCTTTGTACACCCTCAGCTTTCCAGATTGATCCAAGCGTTCACGTTGGGTAGGATGTAATGGAGCAGGTCTTCAGGCACAGACACAAATACTGAACATCTGCTTCAGCTTTCACTCAATGAAATGTACTTAATTTTCCCCCTAAGACTGGTAAATGGTTTTTGCTCTGCCTTTCATAATCTTTTTTTGGACAAAGCAGTGCATATAAAATTCTCTTTTCTTCCTTGAACGGATCCTCTGTAACTGGCTCAGATGCCTAATTATAGACCAGGACACTGTTGGTGTTCTGTCTTTACAAAAACATCCCTGAGGCTTCCCACCCAATTGGCTGTGGGGTAACTGGGAGAAGCCTTTGCTGTTACTGGTTAAGGATGTTTAACCTGGAGGGCAGTGAGGCAGAGGGCAGGGGGATCAAGAGCACTGCTGATAACACGGAGCAGGCACTGCACAGAGCAGGCACACRCTGCYCATGGGMTTGGKGGGTTTGGGGTTTCTTTGGGGTTTCTGAAGGGTTTCTCTACAGGCCTAAACCAGACGAGTTTTTCCTCAGACATCATCATGTTCCTGCTGAAGGAAGTGTGTCATGGCACATGGTCCTGAGGAATATTGCAGAGGAATAAAGCACAGCAGTCCCATAACCCAAAGGAGCTGTTCCTCTGCGCCTCCTGCCTGGTGTCWGAGAGATTCCAGAGGGGCTGTGCCCAGCACTTCCAAAGTTCCCAAGCACTTCCCAAGTTCCACTGGCTGCTCAGTGCTCCAGAGAGGTGCCTGCTGTCTGCAGTGGCTGGTTGAGAGGAGCACTGCCACTGGCACTGTGCCCCTGCTGCGGCCTGCGAGGAGAATCAACAACCTTGTGCTGGTTTAATGAACAAAGTGTAGCTTTTGGGGGAAAAACCCACCCGCTGCAGTGTTCTATTCTTGATAAAGCTGAGGGTGTATTTTTAAATGYAACAAGTAACAAATCCCATTACACACAGATTTTTTTTTCATTTGTCCTTACTCATTAAAAATGTGTCAAATGCTGATTTCCAGGGGTGGTTGTGATATTTGATTGCATGGAAGTCAAAGACATTTGCCTGGTGAAGTGGGTAAAGATTTCTTCCATTGAAACCAGGGCTTTCAGCTGCATGTTTTAGGGCATCTGAAACCTCAGAATACGAGGATTTGTATTAATTGGGACCCCTGGAGTGTCATTGCTGTGGCCAGGATGGGGTGTCCTGTCCTCCCACYCCTCACCTCTGCCTGGTCTCGCTGGAGCTCCGGCTCCGCCCCGACTGCTCTGTAACCAGAGGGACGTCATACRGCACTTCCTCAGGAAAATGACTTAATGTCTGCAGGAGCAAACGCAGGAGAGCTCCAGACTCCAGAAATGATGATCTCATACTCCCCACTGCTGCTGTCCATGGGCTGCCAGCCCCAGGGGGTCCCTGGATGTCCCTTGGCCAGGCTGCAGTGTCCCCAGTGATGCCTTGGGGCTGGATAGAGGGACAAGGCTCCCCTGTGGATGGGGTCACTCACTGGCACCCAGGGGTCTGAGAGGGGCCAGGCTGTGGCTTTTTGTGGGGCTCAGGGTCTTTATACCATTGTGCCATTTACAGCTGGAGACCCCAATCTGTTCCCCCTGCATGTCCCCTCCACATTTCCCCTTTGGAGGCTGTGCTCTGTCCCTGTGGAATTGCTGTGCTCTGTCCCTGTGGGAATTGCTGTGCTGTCCCTGTGGGAATGGTTGTGCTGTCCCTGTGGGAATTGCTGTGCTGTCCCTGTGGGAATGGTTGTGCTGTCCCTGTGGGAATGGTTGTGCTGTCCCTGTGGGAATGGTTGTGCTGTCCCTGTGGGAATGGCTGTGCTGTCCCTGTGGGAATGGCTGTGCTGTCCCTGTGGGAATGGTTGTGCTGTCCCTGTGGGAATTGCTGTGCTGTCCCAGTGGGAATGGTTGTGCTGTCCCTGTGGGAATGGTTGTGCTCTGCTTTCAGGCGATGCCAGCTCTGCCCACACCCCAGAGCGGAGCAGCAGGGCCTTATAAGGACAGAAACGGCTCCAGCCCAGCCCAGGGGCAGCAGGGCCTGCCAGGGCTGTGCCTCAGYGCTGGAATCACGGAAACACCGGGAAAACAACGGGGAACCATTGGGAAATCACCGGGGAACCATTGGGAACCAAGTCCAGTACCGGGGAAACCATCACAGAACCACCAGGGAAGCCATCGTGGAACCGCCGGGGCAAACAATGCAGAACCACCAGGGAAACCATCGCGGAACCACCAGGAAATCACCAGGGAACCGAGTCCGGTACCAGGGAAACCATCACAGAACCACTGGGAAAACAACAGGAACCGAGTCCAGTACCAGGAAATCACCTCCGAGGCYGTCGAGTCCCAGCTGTGCCCGATGCCCACCGTGTCCCCAGCCCAGAGCACTCAGTGCCACACACAGGCATTCCTGGGACACCTCCAGGGTTGGGCATTCCAAACCTCCCTGGGCAGTTCCAATCCCTGAGCACCCTTTCCATCCCTGAGCACCCTTTCCATGAGCCCAGGATGTCCAACCTGGCCCAGCCTGAGGCCGTTCCCTCTCCTTCCCCATCCCCGTTCCTTGCCCTGGGCACTTTCCAGCCCCTTCCCCAGCTCCATTCCCTGCCCTGGACACGCTCCAGCCCCTCCAGGGCTCTCCTGTCAGGCGGGTGCTCCTGCCCATGTGGAGCAGCGGGATGGCACAGAGGCACAGCTGCTGCCTGAGCCAGTCCGGAGAGCATCARCAGGACCTTGGCCCCGGCAGAGAGGAGAGGGGAGCAAAGCTGCAAAACCCAAGGTGGAAAAGCATCTGTGGGGTTCTGGAGATGCCTTTTCCACATCCTTCCTCCCACAGTGTGTACCWCATCCCACTCCTCCAGTGGGATCCACGGCCAAGCATCCCATCCAACTCACGGTCAYGAAAGCACCAGGGCTGGGATGTGGGGGAAGAGAATCCACCCTGCCTGGGTTCGGAGCATCCCCCCGGGGCTGAGCATCCCCCCATGGGCTGAGCACCCCACCTTGGGGCCGGGCATCCCCCAGACCTGGACCATCCCTCCTTGATGCTGAGCATCCTCTCTTGGGGCTGAGCCGCCCCTGGCAC